TTGTATAATAATTTAAAGCAATAAGAGAAATAAATAACACTGCTCAATATCATTAACAAGTGATAATTCTATTTATCAATGATAGTTTCTCCATTCTAATCGTTTATTTCTACTCTTATTTATCACCGTTATTGTGATAACATTCTAATTAGGTTTTACCCTTCTAAGCATTTCGAGAGGCACTCAACTTTTCATTAAATTCTCATAGTATGTTTAATAGATGACAATGACTTTGTGTTGATAGATAAAAAGGAATTATTATTAGTAAAAAATTTAAAAACTAAATAAGTTCTTCATACTTCGACCATATGATGGAAGAAGGAAAAATCTCTTCGACCGGTTCTTCGATGTTCTAAATATGATTCTAAAAGAATATAAAAGAAAGAAACTTAAAATTAAACTAACATGTCAAGATTAACTGAAGCTACACTTCCAGCAAATGGAAATACTATTTATCATTTATCAATTACAGCAGAAGATTTAGCTGATAACATTATTTTAGTTGGAGATCCAGAAAGAGTTCCAAAAGCTAGTAAATTGCTTTTTGATGAATCTAAACCAATCTTTAGACGTGATCATCGTGGGTTAACAACTATGACAGGATTTACGCCAAAAGGACTTAGAATTTCAATTGTTACTCATGGAATGGGTACTGGTAGTGCAGAAATTATTATTAATGAAATTTTAGCATTAAAATGTATTGATGTTAAAACTAGAACTCCAAAAGCTGCACCAACACATCCAGTTAATATCATTAGAGTAGGTACTTCAGGTGCTATTTCAAAAAATACTCCAATTGGAACAGCAATAGTAACAAAATATACTGTTGGTCTTGATAATACTGGATTGTTTTATGATGTTAAACAAGTTAATAAAGAGGCACTTGAATTAGAAAAAGAAGTTACTGAAAAGATTGATAAAGCTATTCCTGAAGGACATAGATTTAAAGGAAAGATCAGGCCATATGTTTCTGTTCCAAATCCTCTTGTTGTTGAAGCATTAGAAAAAGTAGCTAAAGAACAAAACGTTTCATACAAAGTTGGTATAACAGCATCAGCTGCTGGATTCTTTGTTTGTCAAGGAAGATTTATTTTTAAAGAATTACCAACAACAATTTCATCTCTTGAAGAGGTTCTTATGAGTGTTAAAACAAATGATTTAATGGTTGAAAACTTTGAAATGGAAATGAGTTGTATTACTCAAATTACACAAGGATTTAAATGGGTTAGAAGTGGTGGTATTTGTGAAATTGTTGATAATAGACAATTAAAAACATTTACTTCTGCTGAAGATGTTAGTGTTGATAAGATATTAAAAGTAGCTGCAGATGCATTAGCTATTCTTGATACAATTCCAATAGAACAATAATAATAATTTATTAAGTTTTTCATCGTTTTGTTAAAATATAATGTTTTAATTCTCCTTTTTTTTTCTTTTTGGTACAGTAAAATTAAAGAATTTTCAAACATCAAAAAAAGAACTATAAAAATTGATTAAACTTAAAATTTATTTATCTTATGAATAGTCAATGTTATGTTGAAACACCTACATTTACTAGATCTAGTAATCCTGTTCTCTTAGGAGATGAAGAAGAAATTAGTTGTCATTCAGTATATAATGAATATACAAATGGAATTATTTCATCAACAATTCCTATGGAAGAAACACCTTGTATTCGAATGGAAGAAACACCATTAATAAGGTTTGATTAATGCGCTGTTTTATTTCAATGTTTTTAATAAATATTTTTGTTATATTATAATTTGGAAAAATTAAAATCTTTTAACAAATAATTAAAAGGAAGAATGAAAAATTGTGTTTTTAATAACTTTTTTTAAAAAGATTTTTTACAAGAAAGAACTATTATAAGATTAATTAATCTACATATGACTGAAGAACCTCATTCTCTTACTGAGCAACCTATTGGCCAAATCGAATCAATTGAACAAAAAGAAGAAATATTAAACCAACCACAAGAAACACATCAACTAAATTACTATGATGATATTGGTGATATATTTAATACTGAAAATTTAAAAAGAAAAATAAATAGATTAATATCACGACTTGATCAAGTGTTTGATGTTAATCCTGTTTTTATTTGTTTATTAGCAACAGCTGGTTCAATTATGGGAGGACTTTTTGTCTATATAGTCAAACCTAAAGTAACTGTTGCCCGTCAATTTGCAATTCAGTCTATTATAGTAAATGGTATTACTGCATATTTTACTGTATTACTTGGAATCGCATCAATTTTTGCACACAAATTAATATGGTTTTTTATTATTTCTATTTTAACAATGTTATTCCTTTATATTATTCAAATAGGATTGGTTATTGCTGGAAGAGGAGTAAAATTTTTTGGTTTTCCTTTACTTGGTACATGGATTCTTCGTCAAGCCCAACCATCAACTCTTTTACCCAATTAAAATTCTTTATTGAATAATTAATTTCTCATACTTTAAATATTTATTTTTCATCGGACTTTAATTCTGGTTTTTTCTTCATTTGATTATCCAAAAACATAAATAGGCTTACTAATTTTAAAGAAATGAATCATATTTATCTTTGTTTCTTGTATTTCATTGAACACTAATTTAACTCACTTTATTTTAAGTTGGCTAAGATAAAATAGTAGTGTTTTTGGTACTTCAAATTATATGTAGAAAGGTAGTTTCTATGATTAAATCTATAATTGAATAAGATACATCCAATTGTATTTTCTAAGATAAAAAACGAGTTATTCCTAAAGAGCTGAAGTGTTTTTTTATTTTGTTCAATAAGAAATGGATTTTAGAACTATGGAAACAAAAAGAAGTGAATTAGGAAAAAAACTCCTTCAAGAAAGTTTCTTTTTGTTTTCTTTTATCTTAGTTTCCATCAGAAACTCAATACTAGTAAATACCTTAATTGAATGAGTGAAGAACTAACCTATAAGATTTGTGTTGTTGGTCCAGAGAAATCAGGGAAGAGTTGTTTGATTAATCGTATTGCATTAAATGTATTTAAAGAACAACCAACCAATGAACCTCTTGTTTGTTTTTCTTTTTCACTTATCTCTTTAAAGCATAAAGAAACTAATTTTTTTTAGGTTAAAAGAGTTATAAGAGTTGCAGGAAATCTTATTTGTTTGGACCTTTATGAATGCATAAATGTTAAAGAGAAAGAACGTACAAAATACTATCAAGGAGTGGATTGTATTTTATTTATTGTTTCTATGGAAGATATAGGGTCGTTATGTTTAATTCCTAGTTTAGTTGACGAAGCTGAAAAAATGGGTTCTATTCCATCATCATCAATTCTAGTAGCAACAAAAAGTGATGGATCTGTAGAGATAGAGGAATCTGAAATTTATAAAATGGCTCAGAACCTTCAATTAAAATGTCTTTTGGTTTCAAGTCGAACTGGATATGGAGTTGACAATTTGTTATTTGAAATACAAAATGATATATTCTCTATTATGGAGAAAAACGCACTTAAACACTCTCATGATAAATCGTCAAAGAAATTAGTTTGTTTTTGTTACTAAAAAATAATTTTATTATCTCTTACTTATCTTAATAGAAAAAGAAGTAACTTAAAGTTATAATTATAATAAAATTACTATTGGTTATAATTGATTATTCAGTTAGGTAAGACACAAAAAGATCAAGTTTCAGTGCATCTTCACAAGTAATTCTTTCTAACGGATTAATTTTTAATAGCTTTAAACATAAATCTTCTTCATCAGCAGGTAAATTGGGAAATGAACATTTCATTAATTTCAGAGGACTAATCATTGAATAAAATGGGAGATGATTAAACTGTTGTAATTGGTTAGGAAAAACACTATTAATTTGTTGTAAAATTTCTGTTGAATCATTTCCGTGAAACAATACTGTGTGAGAAAATAATTCAACAAAAACACATCCAAGTGACCAAAGATCTATTTCTTCTGAGTATTCTACAGCACCATAAAGTAATTCTGGAGGACGGTACCATAATGTTATCACTTCATTACACTGACTTCTATTAGGAATTGAGTCCCATTTTGCTAATCCAAAATCACAAAGCTTAATCAACCCATTTTTATTTATCAAAATATTATGTGGTTTTATATCTCGGTGAATTATGTGATTAAAATGAAGAAATTTAACTGCTTGAAGTACTTGAAAAGCAATATCAGTTGCTTGCTGACGAGTAAATGGATGTGCTTGTAGTTCTTTTCGGAGATCGGAAGTACAATAATCCATTATAATATATACTTTGTTTGTTATAACTACATCTAATATTCCTATAATGTTAGGATGGTTAATCATTTTTAAAAGTGTAATTTCTCTTATTGTGGCAGAACACATTCCACACTCCCCTAACTTCATTTCTTTTACTGCAACAAAATTATTCTCCTCTTTAGGTTTGTTGTTCTTTGGATTGTAGATAGTTGCTTTATAAACAAGTCCATATGTTCCTTCTCCAACTTTGTCTATCAATTTATATTTATTATCAACAATGTTTCCTTTCATTTTATGTTGAACTTAATTTCAATTGAGATTGACTTTGTTTTTCATTTTATTTTTGATTTGCTTATTTCGTTTGCTATTTCGTTTTAGTAAAAAGTAGTATGATCTTTCACTTTGTAGAGATTTATTGAATCACTTGAGTGAAAAGTTAATACAAATTTTTTATTTTTAAGTTCTGAAAGAAAAAAAAACCACTGAAAAAAATATTCATTTCTGATTTCTAGTATTTTTCATACGTCTTCTGTTGAAAAACTCTTTTCTTACAATGAATATAACAAATATTATTAAAATTATTACTGGATAATGTTCTTGATTCGTGCAAAGAAAAGTAAACAAAGTATTGGTATTCAAGTGAACAAAGAAGAATGAATATCAACAGTAATAAAACTTAAAATGAGAATGGAAAAAGAAACACAATGAAAAAGTGAATAGAAAGAGAAATGAAAAATGAACAAAAACATGAGTATG